TGCTAAGATTTTTGGATACACAAGCTCCCTCGTTATGTGAGTATGAACTAATTTATATTCCAAAGTAGGTCAGAAGCAACTGGTCTTCTGCCTGGCTGCTGAAGTTACTGGTTTGCTGTTGGGGGTGTTTCAGTTTCTGTGATTATCAGCTCATGTGCACACTTTTTAAATCTCTTATCTTGTTTCTTTTAAATCTCCTTGATCCTTGTTATAGGATCCTTCTATGATTTTTGATTTATTTTTTTTCCCCCAAAAGGAAAATTAACAGAAACCGTGTTTATTTCTGTTTAAGCTGTTTGAGATTTGGGGAAATTACTTGCACTCTGTGCATATTTAACACCAAACACTTGTCTCTTTCTGACACATCCATGCTCTAAGTGACTGGCTTAGAAATGACACTCAAGTGTTGCAGCTGAAAGCTGTTGGCTGACAGATAGTGGATTGAAAAAAGGATCTTTGTTCATTGAGGGCTGCTCCATGACATGTCTTGGTCTGATAAAACTGATAGCATAGCTTGTGTTTCTGGCACCTCCAGTACTGCTGGTTAGGGCAGATTTTAAGAGGTTTGAAACACAGTACTGAAAACTCTCAATGTCCGAAAAAGGAGAAATTTCTTAAAATGTGTTTCAGACTCAGAGATATTGGCAGTGCTCTGCTTTCGTGCCAGTGATGACCCTGGTTTTAATAAACCATCCAACTATTTGTGTTACTAAGCCTTGTGTTTCTGCTGTGCTTCCTTCAGATGTGGTATTGTTCTCCTTGGCCCAGGGAGCTCTGAAAGGCAGGGGAAGGAGCTGGGGATGTTTCCTGTGTTTGAAATGTCCTTTGGTGTTTTGGAACACTGGACAAGTTTTGTGCTGTTGTGTTGGTTCTGCAGTGGTTGAGCTCCCGAGTCTCCAAAAATGAAAAGCAGATACTGGTATTTTTTGAGGAGGGCAGCTCACCTGGGCTCAGGTGTGTGTTTGGGATGCTCCACCAACCCCACACCTCATTCCTGAGGGGTGTTGGGGGAGCAGGACCTGGGGCTGCGGGGGTGGTCAGACCCCACTGCTCCTGGGCAGACTGACAGCTGCTGTGCTGGAACCCAGTGAGGATGGCTGAACACACTGTTACATGCTGGGCTAATTTGAACTCTAGAGCATAATTTGCTTTTAAATAAATGGTGATAATTCAGGTTTGGTAGTTCTTTTGCTGCCCAATAGATTTGGCATGATATAAAGCTATTTTCTGTTAACCACACTGTTGCAAACCTTTCTGTGATAAAGAACAAGTCAAATTAAACAAAGCTGTGACAAATGAAAACTTAGTGACAACATTTTATATGTTGTACTTCTCTAGGCTTTGCTTAGTCCTGACAAAATAACATGCATTTATTTTAATTATTGTTTTCCTGACGTGCATGAGCATCTCTAATAGATAAACTACACTACACTGCCCAGCTTTAATGAAAATATTGCCTTTATATCTTGGAGGCCTGGCATGCAGATCCTGAGTTCTCTGCAAATATTTTCTAGGATTTTCTGCTATAAATGCAAAAGTGTTGTAGGTAAGACAGCACTTGGGAGGAAAGGCCAGCTGTTTGAACAGTTCAAACCCAAAGATTTATAAGCTGAAACTACAGTTTAACTTCTGTTTTTTTCTTGCTTGTGTAGCTGACTCAAGCAGTGACCATGAGAAGACAGAGTTTGTGAATTTGGTGCTGCTTTTCTCGGAATTCACTCGGCATGATGTTTTCTCCCACGATGCCTACATGTGCACTTTAATATCTCGTGGGGACTTGTCCATCACTGCAGCTCCCAGACCACGCTCCCCTAATGGGGAAGCTGTAGATGAACATTATTCAAAGGGTCATGATGTGAAACTGGAGGTAATGCTTTGTTCCCATGTTTGGGAACATGGTGTTCCATGCTGTTCCCATGTTTGTTATTGTGTTTCATTAAATGTGGTTCTCAGCGAAGCATTAGTATTTCAGGTGTGAGATACTGGGGGTCTTTGTGTCTCCTTGTCTCTTCCTCTTTGAGAAAGCTGAAAAGGATCCCTTAACTTCATTGCTGTAACTGTAAATATTGCTGATTTGGTGCAGATGGATCAAACTAGCAGCTGTCTGGTGATCTGAATAACTTGGGACAAACTGAAAGACACAGTTCTTAAAGAGGCACAGTGCTTGAGTTTGCTGTGACTTATACCTGTTTTTCTCCCTGGCAATTATTAGGATCATGGTATTGTGGAACATATGGGCATTGACTCAGGAACCACTGGTATTTTTGATGATGTAGAAAAGAGTGACTTTAAGGCAGATTTTGGTTCAGAATTTCCAGTAGGTTTGCCTTTGATTTTCTGCATGCCTGCGATGCCTTTGCTGCCCGTGGCTGCTGTTGTGTTGCCACTGAACATCCCTCCATGCCCCAGCACCACCCTGCTCCTTCCCTCGGCAGCTGATGGCCTTTGGCATCGTCTCTGTGTCTGTCAGTGCCTCACCTCTGTTCTCTGCATTCTGCTGCTGCTCCCCTGTGCTGCCCTGCTCATCCTCCTGCAGGCACAGACACCCCTGCTCTCCCCCCTGCCCCATCCCCGGTGTGCTGAGCACTGTGTGTTACACTGAGGATGAAGAAATGTGCAGAGCTCCCCACTTGTTTGACATCAAGGACCCTCACTGATGCCATCTGCTTCTCCAAGGATGGTTCTATGTTTTGGCTCTGTTTTCAAATCTGTTTCCCCTCATTTTCCTTTCTGTTCTGCATGAATCTCGAATCTCCTGTTTCTTCCTTTGGATTTCCCCTTGTTTTGCATGGACTGCCTAGACTTATCACTTGCAGGATATTGGGACCCTGTTTCTGCCTGATAACTGTCATGTTGGTGGTTTCAAGCACGTCCATGCCTACCTACAGTGTCTCTTGTCACCTCCCACTTCCCCTGTCCCATTATTTTCCCTCAGTTGCTGAAACAGCTCATTGTGGTTTCTGTGTCACAGCAACATGAGGAGTGTGCAGATTGCTCCAGATCAGAATGCTTTTTCCCCTGACTGAATCTCTAGGTTAAAACTTGTCTAATAACCACGGAGATGTGCACAGGGATATAATATGTACATTTATCTTAAATCTCAGGCTTGAATGCAATTGCCTTGCTTTGTCTGTCTCTGAAAAACCTCAGATGTTTGACAAGTAGCTGCAAGCAAGAGCAAATCCTGTCTTTGTCTGCAGCTGCTGGATTTCAGAAGCTGGAGGTTACACTTACCTTACACCTTTGCTTTACATGTCTCAGATCTCTTCTCCGACGCCTGGGGAGTCTCGTCAGAGTGTGACCCCTTCCCTCGAGAGAAGGAGCTCAGTCCCGAGCGGGAAGTCAGCCAAGAGGGAGAGGCTGAGAGAGCTGCTTGTGCCATCCAACTATCACCTCCTTCGGCACCTGCAGTACGCCACACACTTCCCCATGCCCCTGGTGAGTGACCAGTGACCTTGCCCGTGCCCCTGGTGAGTGACCAGTGACCTTGCCCGTGCCCCTGGTGAGTGACCAGTGACCTTGCCCGTGCCCCTGGTGAGTGACCAGTGACCTTGCCCGTGCCCCTGGTGAGTGACCAGTGACCTTGCCCATGCCCCTGGTGAGTGACCAGTGACCTTGCCCATGCCCCCGGTGAGTGACCAGTGCTCGTGTGTCGTGGTGCTGCCTGGTGGGACAGCAGAGCATTTCCAGGGAGGGAAGTGTGGTGGTCACTGGGGTTCAGGGACAGGCACCACAGTAGCCCACCATGACCCAGGCTCTAACAAAAGCTTGCTAAATAGAACGTTTTGGGCTGGAGCTGGGCAGATGGATGAACACCGAAATATCTGAAAGAAGTAGCTCTGAACTGTGTGACAGGAGGTGTCTCTTCTTCCTGCCTACTTGGTGCTGCTTCCAGCACGGATTTTTGGCTGCTGCTGCTGTGCTTGTCTGTAGGCTCATGAGAACTGGAGGAAGCCCCATGAGTAACACTCTAGATCCCAGCCCTCATGCAGATGGGTTCTCATGTTTTCCCCTGTGCTGGAAAAAGGCCCCAGACACTGAACAGGCCTCAAACTGGACTGTACCTACTTAAGAGTTATTATTATATTTAAACAATGACAATTTTTTAACAATATCAAGTCCTTTCAGTCCATGAAGCTTCATGTGAGTATCATGTGATAATTCCAGTTTTCTTTCCTTTAAATTTCTTAGCCCACAAAGTTTGGGTTGTGATTTATTGCAGGAGAATTGTTATGAAAATACTGAATGAACCATTTTGAATGCTTGCTTTGAGCAAAATATGAATCATGTTTTTTTTTTTGCTCAAGGATTAGAAAAAAGATAATTTGGTTTTGTTTCTGAAATAGTTTTGATTTGCAGATGGAGCTAATCTAAGTAGCTGGATTTTGCCAGTGCAAATTGATTTTTAAATTGATTATTGATTATTGTGCATATGCATAAGTTTTGGAAGTAAATATATATCAGAATATTAATAAACTTAGCTGCTGTTTTATAAATTTTTATGAACAGAAAACAAGCAAAGAGAACAAGCTGGATACTTATACTCTATCTTTGTTTTAAAACTTGCTTGAATTTTCTATAATAACATGTTAGGTTTTTTCCTATTCACTGAAGCAGCAGCAAGGAGAGGCAATGGAACTTGGTAAGAATAAGAAATTTATGTATAAAAACTGCAGGTATGATATAGGCAGATACAATAATTTTTAATCAGTGCAGTTTAAAATCCCTGTCTGGAGTAAATAATGCCCTCTGAAATGCTTTTGGGTTAATCATGTGTGTGAAAAAAACTTTGCAGCTGAAAAACTTCCATTCAGTAATTTCTTCACTTGATTGCACCAAGTCATTTAATATAGTAAATACACAATATTTAACTTAGAAAAGGTGAGTTCAGGTGTTTGCCATAAATAATTCTAAAGTACGTTTGAGTCTGAACATGTGTTGTTACACACTGCTGATGATCCCTGGTGGGCCACCACTGCTCACTGAGCAGAGTGGAAGGCTCTGTGAGCTCAGACCCCCTGTGTGAGTGTGGAACACAGCCATGGGCATTTATTGATCAAGTATTTTCCTTCTGCTCGGGCTCACGAATCGTCAGGAGCGTCGTTACCCGCGGTGTCTGCGCGCACAGTCACCGAGCAGCTGTCACTGCTGCTGGTGGGCTCACTCTGTGCCCGTGTTTGAGAGCTGGGGAGGTGTATCTGCTGTTCACTGCTGCAGGTGGGCTCACTCTGTGCCCGTGTTTGAGAGCTGGGGAGGTGTATCTGCTGTTCACTGCTGCTGGTGGGCTCACTCTGTCCCCGTGTTTGACAGTCAGGGTCAGGTATCTGCTGTTCACTGCTGCTGGTGGGCTCACTCTGTGCCCATGTTTGAGAGCTGGGGCCGTGTACCTGCTGTTCACTGCTGTGCTGCAGCTCCACGTCTGTGAGCGCCTTTGTCTGCTTGGGGGCTGCAAACGCCTCTGTGAACTTCAGCCGGAAGGATTTGGAAAGGTGGTAATAGAGAATGGGGTCAAAGCAGAGGTTTGAGACTGCAAACAGCAGGGTGCACTCCTTGGCTTTGAAGAGGGCCCGCCTGAGGGGGCAGCTGGCCGTGGCGTCCCTCTGGCTCAGCGTGTAGGGGATGCGCACGGCGTGGTAGGGCACGAAGCAGAGCAGGTACCCGGCCGTCACCAGCAGGATGTGGGTCAGCGCCGTCCTCACGCTGCCGTAGCTCTCGCTGTACTTGTGGCGGTAGAGCTGCCTGACAACGAGGAAGTTGGAGATCAGGATCACGGCTGAGAAATTCAGGAATATCGCTGTGCATATGAAGTTAGTGAACACGTGCCAGTCTCTCCCAAACTTGGTTTTGAAGTCGATGCATCCTGCGCCGGGCCTCTCCTCGATGTGTTGTATGGGAATAGCCATGTTAGGCACGGTTATGAGGAGAATCATGAGCCACACGACCACGGACAGTGTCTTGGCAAACCCCGGCTCCTGGATGCGGTAGATCTTAGAGCTGTGCATCAACTGCAGGCAGCGATCCATGCTCACAAATCCCAAAAATATGATTGATAAATACATGTTCAGATAGATGAAACAGGCTGTAACTTGGCAGTGGAATATTCTCAGATTCCAGGACGCAATTCCTAGGTCAACAATAATCTTCATTGGCAAAGTCAAAGTTAATAAGAAATCTGCAGTGAGGAGGTTGATTAAGTAGATGCTCATAGGCTTGTGTTTCTGATGCTTCTGTGTGAATGCCCACAGTGCAAAAAAGCTTCCAATAATTCCCATAAGAAAAATCAAGTAGTAAAAATAGGTAAAAGGTTCCATGTCTTCATAGATATGGCATTCTGAAATATTGCTTGACATTGTAAACTCCTGTGTGAGTTGTCTTTGCTGACCTGAGGTATCAAGGACCTACGAAAAGAACCGAGAGGACATCAATGACATCTGCCTTTCCTAAGAGACAGTTGTTATTCTCTTAGAATTTTGCTTGATTAATCTCAAGGAAAAATGCAATTAGGAAGAAATATTTTTCTCACTCTTCATGCTGCTTCCCAGATACTCAGGAGGGCTTTGTTCTCATGTTGGAAGACTTAAGAATATATTAGGATTTGTTCCTGAGCCTTCTGAGCAGCTTTTCCACTAGAGCAGCCTTTCTGGGAGGGTTTGGTTCGACGCTCGCCCTCAGCCAAGGTGCCAGAGAAAAAGGTTTGAATCTATTTAGGCATCTAGTTAATAATGCTAAAACTTCATAACTTTTTTTTTTTTTTAAGGATTGAAACTATGCCTATAAAAAAGTAATCTTTGTACCAGCCTTGTTCTATAAAAATGTGTTGGGAGTTCTGAGTGAGTGCACTGGCAGACCAATATGGGTATGTCTAATGGGTGAGCAAACGGTTCTGATCAGCCCTGAGGTTTGCACACTGCTCTCTCTTCCCACTTGAACAAATTAATTGTATGTTTTTATGAAACTTTTAGGAAAACCACATTTTGAAAGAAGCAGATAATAAGTAATGTTGCTCACTACCTTTGTAGGCTTCACTAGAAATTAAAGGGAAGAAAAGTAAAAAATATTGGTCCTATTTCAACTAAATATATGACTCTATGACTGAGGGGCTTGTTTGATTGCCACACTGCAGGCTGCTGCATAGAATGGCTGTGGGAAAAGCTGTTCCTTCGAATTTCTTGGAATGAAAACCAATACATTTACGTCTTGAGTAGCATCAGAATGCAACAATTCTATTTCTTTATATTGTTTCTAATTTTAATACACAATATAAGAGAGCTACTGCAACTGCACGTATGATTTCTGCTGTAAAATATGTATGCAAAATTTGTAAAGCAAAACGATTGCAGATACTCCAGTGGTTTGAAAGGGGGAGGAAGCAGTTTACTCCTTGCAGTTGGCTTTCTGCAGGCCTCTGTTGTGCTGAGCACAGGTACCTGGGTGGAATGGAGCGTGGTGTGTGTGGTGAGGAGAGGGCAGGCGG